GTGGCGCTCCTAAGATAGGGTGGCGCTCCTAAGATAGGGTGGCGCTCCTAAGATAGGGTGGCACAAGCAATCATCAGTTACAGCGAAAAGCATAAATGGGAATATTCCTCCAGGTCCATTTTGAGATCAGCAGTTAACTGATGTTTTTGCTCCTGTTCTTATTTTTTTTTTGGGATTTTTCACTTTTTCCTCCAAATATTTAACAGGCAAATCACAGTTGAGGCCCTCTTGCTGGCAGCCAGAAGGGCCGTCTCTTCAGAACATGGGCATGGTGAATCCCTGCGACAAACAAGAGGCGGCACAAGTTAGGACACGTTTTAATGTGAAAAAGAAACAGAAAATATGGGATTGGGGTAGTGACTGCTTATGGGTCTCTGTGCCACCCTGACCACAGGCACACCTGAGCTGATTGGCCTGTCTGACACACCCCACTCTTGTGCCCAATGAAATGCCACCCTGACCACAGGCACGCCTGAGCTGATTGGCCTGTCTGACACACCCCACTCTTGTGCCCAATGAAATGCCACCCTGACCACAGGCACGCCTGAGCTGATTGGCCTGTCTGACACACCCCACTCTTGTGCCCAATGAAATGCCACCCTGACCACAGGCACGCCTGACCTGATTGGCCTGTCTGACACAGCCCCACTTACCGAGTCATCCTCAATCATGGCCGCCGAGTCGAAGAAGTCTGGTCTCAACTCTGCCCTCTCTCGTCTGTTCCTAGATGGCGGCTGGGAAAACGACCGGGACAAAAGTTACGATTCCACCGTCACATTTCAGTTCAGCCTTCCTCGCCCAGCCTGTATTTACTCTGGGGGTTGTCAGACACTGGGTACCCCCCGGGGCCATCGGCACATCATGCGAGAACAGCGAGACGCTGAACCTGCAAACAGTGATGGACGGTGTCCCCGCATAGATCACGCCCCACACAGGGAAAATCTCAATTCTAAGTAATGAAATTCCTCGCGATCAGAGTACCGTTAGCACTTTGGAACAGGGTACTGCGGGTAACCGCATAGGGGCAGCAATCTCAGCATCTATGTTTATTAAGAACGCTCACTGTTAGACTGCTAGGAAGATGGCAACCTAGGCCATTAGAGACCTAGATAAATGTGTGGCGACAAAGTAGCTGATTTATAATAATTTATATTAAACATTCAATTAATAATAAATATTTTGGAGACATGTTACTATGCAACACACAGCTGATGTAAACAAACTGACCAAGTCGATGACCATGGTGTCCTCAAACTCCTCGGTCATGTCCTCCAGCTGACCACGGGACGACATCATCACGTCCTCGAAGATGGGCTCCGCGTCGTCCTCCATGAGGCCGCGACTGCGACGCGTACAGACGGCAGGCTCTCATACCACACCCGCACCCGAGCTCCCCCCTCCCCATTAACACCATTCCCATCCCTCCCCCTGCCCCGTCCCTAATCAGTTCTCTAGCTGTCAACTCCAAGTGTCCTGAAAAGACTTACGAGTGCATCATAAAGCTGACTCCTCATGTTCTCTAACCCCAGGAGGGGGGGGGGGGTACTTACACAGTCTGCCTAACTCCCCCACTCCGAGCCTTCATGTAGCTCATCCCGGTCCGGTCCTTCCTGTTCACCTCCTCCAGCTTCTGCTGGCTGAGCCAGGACATCTGCATCTGGGGACTGCAGGGCATCTCCGTCAGCTTCCGCTCGCAAGCACGTGACTTGGCAGTTTCACCGCGTAATGCGCTTAATGCGGTCCCTGACGCAAGTAAGTCAGAAGTATTTAAACTGTGGGGCGTGCCCCCTGGTGGGGTGCGAAGAAGTTGCAGGAGGTCACAAGTGGGGGAAAGGGCAAACAATAGGACTATGTGGGGGGGGGGGGCATGGATGAGGAAGGCATTTGCTGGTACCACTTTCCCCTGTAAAGAGGCGCCTTACTTGTGGACGTAGTCGGACTCAGAGCCGGGCTCAGAGTCCTGGTCCGGCATGTGTTCGGCTGCCTGCCGCGGGTTCTCCCTCAGCACGGTGGAGGTCAGCTGTGGGGTCTGCAGCGCCCCCGGTGTCTGGATGGTGTCATTGCGCATGAGCCACGAGCCCTCCACACTTTCCTCTGCTGGATTAAGCATGCAAGATAAACTCCCATGAGACCACGAAGGTATGTGGCCACTTCAAAGTCACAGGACAATGGAGATGCGAGGGATTGTCTGACGTTGTGAGGCATGGAGCAATGCGGTCAGGCAGACGCCGCCTCTCACCGTCGATCCTCTTCTTGTGCAGCGGCGGACGGCCCTTCTTGCTACGGACGGAGCTGGCCTTGCTGCTGGCGCCGCCGCTGGTGACGGAGAGCCGGTCCTCGTCACCACCGGTCAGCAGCGAGTTGCGGTAGGAGATGAGGGGCAGCCAGACATCCTCGCGGCGCTCCATCATCTGCTCCGTCAGAAACTTCTCCAGATAGGAGTGGCTAACAGAGAGAGGCGAGGCCGTGGTAAACAAGACAGGCATGGGCGACACGCTGACAGAGACCTTTGCTTAGACCCGGTGTCAGGTTCACTTACACAGTCTTCTTGTCTTGCCGCAGGAGCTTGGAGGAGAACTCACTGAGAACCTCCAAAAAGGCCAAGTTAGGAGGCGGATACTCAGCCCCTTTTGGATTCTGATACTTGAAGGCAAACTCTATTCCATCCCTAAGAATTGAAAACACAAAGTTTGAGGAGATGTTCCTGAGTCACATCTACTTTGTGATAAACATCTGTCCTTCGAATCAGGGAATGCCAACAAAAATCTGGCATCAGCAGCACCCAGAGGTGCCTCCACTCACTTGTGGAGTGTGGCCACAGCCTCCCTGGTCTTGATCTGGTCCAATCCAAAGGTGAGAGCAAAGCGGCGAGCCAGCTCCTTGATACCACTAACGTGAGAGGACGTCCTGTCCAGGTTGGGCCCCTGGTCCTGAATGAGCTCGTTGAATAGCTGTAAGAACAAGCGGTAATTTCTCAAGAATGAAGGCTCTGGATACTGATTATACATAAAAGTCCCAACCCATTCCATAGACCAGTGTTTGTCAAACCAGTCCTCAGGGACCCATTGACGGTCCACGTTTCAGCTCGTTCCCAACTCTCAGGCAATTGGCAACGAGAAAACCATGGACCGTCTGGGGGTCTCAGAGGACTGGTTTGACAAACACTGCACTACACCAATGACAGGGCATCACTCCAGTCAGAATCGCTCACCTGCTGAAGGCTGAGGATGAGTGTCTTGGCGCACTGGATCTTGTCAGTTTGCCTGGTTTTGCTCAGAGTCTCTTTGATGATGTCACCATAATCGTTATAGTACTGAGAACAGGAAATGAGGTTAGATGGTGTCAAGGCGTGCTGGTCAACTGCAAGAAATGGGCTGGCACCTTCCAGCTCACCTTCATGTAGTGTTTGAAGATGTCCGCAGCGGCCGGCATGTCCACGATGTCGTAGATGATGAGCTTGCTGAAGGCAGCTAGGAGGTTCCTCCGCTTGTGTAAGGCCTCAATCTTATTGGCTTCGTCCTCTTCGTCGCCCTCTGTTGGCAGCGTAATGACAGTCACCACACAGTCAGTATTCGTAGCACTTCAGTTCGCCTCCTAGCCATCTGCTAAGCACCATTAATGCCTCAGGCCCGGACAGCTCCCATCGCGGTAGGGGTCTCACCCATGCTCTGGCTCTCATCGTCCTGGTCAATGAAGACGTGATCCAAGACGAAGCTGAGCAGCTCGTTCTGCAGCTGCGCGTCGGGGTTAAAGACCAGCGGCTGCAGAGCCTCGCGACCCCCGTTGGTCAGCTGGTGGCTAAAGATCATGAGCAGGTCACACAGCAGCATGAAGGCCTGGGGTGGGGAAGCCATGGAATGGGAGTGAAATTATTTTCTGATTCCAGCTGAGTATCTAGCTGCATCTCTAAACTGGTTGGCAAGAGCACCATGGGAAGAGCCAACTGAAAAATAAACAAGGTCGGCCTACTCTGTTTCCTAGCGCACCACCTGGTGGCCATAGGCAGGACTGCAGCAGTTCATAATGACATTTCAACAAGCATGGATCATTAATAATTGTAGGTAGGCGGCTGAAAGTTTAATACCATGTCACTGCAAGAACTAGCTTCAGTCAACAAATACTTATATATATATATATATATATATATATATATATATATATATATATATAAATAAACACACACACACACACACACATATACACACTCCTCTACTTACGAACTTTAAACTTACGAACGAAGAGGACTAAGTCCAAATTGTGTTCATTGGGCTCCCGTTTCCTGACCACAACATCATTTTTTTTTTTTTTTTACTGTGCGCCAATTCCAGGAAGTACGACATCTGGCCGCTACTCCCGCCGTGCAGCAGCGTAGCGTGCGTACTCCCAGCATCCTAGTTCTTAGTACTTGCGTATACCCTTAAAATGATGTTGAATGACGACTTACGAACATTTCAAGTTATGAACAGCCGTTCGGAACGTATCTCATTCGTAAGTAGAGGAGCTTCTGTATATAGGAATCAGATAAAATTAGATACGCGCATTTTATCTATATATACATCAATTAGCATTTAAATACGTAAATATCAAGAAATTGAAAATATAAAATGTCAAAGAACACCAAAGCCTAATACTAGGCACGTATCAAATGTATGTGACACAGAGTCAAAGCCTGAAGGCACAAAAAGGCAGAACAGTCTAATAAATCTATGCTATATCGTCAGAGGGGAGCTACAATGTTGACATGATGATCATCCTTTAATTAAAATGCGAGGCTTGTGTAACATACATTGATGGTGCAACCCTTGCTCATGTCACGTTTTGAAGGAAAACACCAGTTTTCTGTTACCATAAACAACATAGTGAAGGCTTATTATGAAAAATGATACATATAAATAACAGGCACCAGTCTTTTTCGATTCGCCCCTAAAAACATATTTTGTTTACAGTTATGCGATACGCTATCCGGCTAATGCTAGAGCCAACCGGACAGACAGACTGACCACTTAACGGAAACGCGCCAACGTGGAGGAGCCTCGACTCACCTGCTCCTTGACAGGCGTGTTGACGTTGGACAGACACTGCTGGCACACAGCCAGGAAGGACTTGACAACCCTCCGCAGCGCTACAAGGTCATCCTGCATGGGGGGGGGAATAATTATTAAATACCATCGCAAACAATCCAGACGGGGCTTCGGGTAGAAATCAATACACAATGACGCAGAAATGAGAAACATCTACACCACAGCTGAGGACGTCAAGAAAAAAAAAAAAAAAGACGTACCTTAGTAGGAGAACCTTCGGTAATCTTGACTAGCTGCCATAAGATTGAGTAATGTGAACACTGCAAGGCCTGTACTGCAATCTGTACAGGAAGTAAGACAGGGTCAGAACAAAGAGACTAGCGTTCACCGACCAATCAGCAGCGCCCGTCCTCATGCCTAGCCCCGCCTTACCTGCTCGGGCATGGAGCCCTGCTCGATGCCGGTTTTCAGTAACCTGTAGCAGTTCCCGAAAAGGTCCCACCTGGTGAGATCGTGGGCGCTGCAATGACAGGAAGGAGTGAGTGGCACCTGACCCCATTACAGCCATTACGGAGAATAGCAATCGTTATCAGATTCGTTAAAAATGCGAGAAGAGCGACTCCTCTTTGGGGGAGAAGGGGCTTACTTATGGAAAGCTGTGAGCCTCTTGAGAGTCGAGAGGACGTTGTATATGTCGTCGTCGTCCGCCTCTTCACCCTGAGAGACGAAGATGACGCTTGAAATTGAAGGCAATCATCTCAGAGCAGGGCTCCCTCGTGATTTCCCCGTAAGATCATCAAGTTGTTTTCCATGCTAATTATTTTCGCACAAAAATTACTTTTATAATTAGTTTCCCGAGCAAAAACACAAACCCAGCCCCCAAACAACATGGCTCCCCGTGCACCTCCTGCAGAAGGTCCTCCACGGAGTGGCTGAAGCGGTCGACCATCTCGTCGATCAGCTGGCTGCGAGCGATGTCCACCCGGTTCATTATGGTGTACTCCTCGCTGCACAGAATGCTGTAGGTCTTGCTGCAGGCTTCCAGTACCTCTGTCTCCGTGTGCTTTTCCACCACGAAACGGATCTGCTTCAGCAGGGCGTCTAGGTGCTGCGGGGGAGGGACAAGTGGGGGTCAAAGAGATTCGTATGCCTCACCACATGCTCGACAGAGAGCCTCCAGCACTGACACTAGCTACACAATCGTCCACATGATCCACTCCGACCCAAAACGGGGCCGTTACCTTCTCCATCCGCCCAGCACTGTACACGTCAAGGTCGAAGAAGGTGGGGATCTGCAGGAGGTTGGCTACCTTCTCTGCATCTGCCTGATACTGCGCGGGTCACATGAGGTCAGAGGTCAGTGTGAGGAAGTGTCAGACCACCCCTGGAAGCTAGGGGGCGTGTGTCAAACGGACGTCGTTACCTTGGAGAGTAGCATGGGAAGCGCCATAATGAAATGCTCAGTTAACTTGTTTCTGTCATCGATCTGAGTCTTCCTCTCTTTCGCCGTCAGAACCTGGAGAAGGGAGATCACTCGGTCACTTCCAGATCTACATCAAGTATTTCAATCCTGCATTCTTTACCCTTTGGTTTGCCAAATCAGACAGAACAGTGCCCCCTGGGGGGGGCGGCAGAGTACAGCGACTCACCCTCTTTCCGGTCCCTCTGCCGACTGGCGGGTGGGCCTCGGCAGCCTGGCGGATGGTGCACACCATCAGCTCGATGAGGGCGCTCTCCTGGCGGTCAGACAGGGCTGAGGTAGAGGACAGACGACGCTGTTAGGACAGGGGGCTCCTCACACGCAGACGGGGAGCACAGACAGACAGCCAGCCACGGTACCTTCCTCCCCCTGGACGGGCTCCTCCAGGAGCAGTTCGGTCATGCACTCCCAGTCCTTAAGCAGCTCCTGGGAGCTGTCCCACAGGCTGTCTACCAGGTAGGCCGCATGCTCGTGGAGCTGTCAGAGGACAAAGATACACGCAAGAGCCGTGGATGCAGAGGGGTGAATGTGGGCACCTCAGCCGAGGTGTCCGTTTGATATAAACGACCAGGCGCCTCGGCATCACGAGCAGAGTTCACAGACCCAGACGTTTCCCAGCATTTCCTACCTCGCTTTCCAGGAAGAAGAGCACCAGCATGCGGATCAGGTTCCCGTTGGGGCTGTTCCTGCCCCGGCGCTTGGCCAGAGCCTCTTCCGCCTGAGGATCGTGTCGGCTGAACAGCCTGGAGACAGGACACGTGCCAAGGTCACGGCGCGGACGCCACTGGGCATGCGGCACCGGCGCTGCGTCGTAACCCCTCCAAGTAATTTACCAAAACTCCCAAACAGACGTTTGACAGATACGTACGAGGTCGTGAATCTCAAACTAGGCCTGAGCAGAAGGTAATTCACACATTTTATTCATTTGCTGGCATAAAAAAAAATAAAAGTCAGTCTTGAAAGGAAATGAAGCAACATGAACCTTAATTGCCGTAATTAGTTCTCGTGTAAATTATAGCGGAAAAGCAAAGCAAACATGTAACCCCCTGAGGTTCTGCTCGTAGCAGTCAGCCCGGTACCTTCCAGAACATCAAAAAAGACTGAAAGTACACCAACGTTTAAGAGTCGTTAAAAGCTACTCCAGTTGTGTCGGTTGAATGAGATGCCTGAAACACATAAATTCCTCCAGCCAAAATACGTGTTTAATGAAAGTAAGGCGGCACTCCAGGGACGACCCGGGCTTTGGACCCTGAATTATAAACAGCCGGCTCTGCATGAAAGGCATTTACAAGCACTCTGATTGAAACAGTCTGGCCAATAGCTGGCTAACGAACCGGGGGCAGGGTGGCAGCAGGAAGGGCCCCCACCCAAGCCATTAAAACCCGCACCCACCCCCCCAGAACTCACTTCCTGTGCAGGAACTCTCCCGCAGCGACCGCCACGGGCCTGTGGGCCGAGTAGACCAGGTGATAGACGTTCTCGCAGTCCTCGTTGGACAGGGCGTCCTCGCTGCCCCTGGAAAGAGGCGTGACGGGGGCGGAGTCAGGGGTGCGGAAAGACCTGGCACACGCAGGGGGGCTTGAGTGGGCAAGTGGGCCTGCCTCCCGGTGACTTACTGCAGGATTAGGGTCACCAGCCTGATGGCCTCCACGGCGACGTCATACTCTTTGTCGAGTGTCATGGAGACGATGCGGTCCTGGAAGGGGACAGGAGGCACCAGGGTCTGAATGCGGCCTCTACGTCACGAACATTCTGATGCAAAGCACACACTGTTCAAATGGGACCCGGTGTTCATTGTGCATACATTCATCATCCCTGCAATTTCTATGGACTTCATTTTCCACCCCTGACACGTGGAAATGAAGTGTTCATTCCTTACGGAACTGCGGGGGAATTAAAATATTCCGCCGCAGGCGAGGCAACTGAACAGACCAATTTGTAAGCAGAAAGGTGAACTGCGCAAAATCCCCCCAACAAAATAATCTGAGAATCGCAGCCAACATTTGCTCATTCGATGTGCAGTTTATTACATTTAACACACCCAGCCAAAACAGCCTATTATATTAGTGGCAAAAAAGATGAACTGTACCTATGTTATTGACAAGGCTCTTTTTGTGACAAAGTATAGAACCACCATCAGGCTACAATCGCCTGAAGCACAGCACTGTAACACTGAGATTCAATCTTTACAATAACAGAACAAAACTCTTTAGCATCAATACTCGCAGCCCCCCAGGTCCTGTCAATCACACGCCCCCTACCTTGAATCTGTTGGTGAAGAGCTCTAGCTTCGGAAATAGCTCCCGGTTTGTGTAGAGGTTCTGCAGCGCCTTCAGACACTTCAAGCGGACTTCACCTTGCTGTGGAGACAACGCCATAGGGATGTTAGCTCAAATCCCCCAAATTCCCGAAAAGTGGAAGGTTACTGTAGACGACCTTGAGTCTGCTCAGACGTACCCTGTCATGCAGCGTCCAGCCCACGTACTTCAGGTAGCTGTCGTTGAGGAAGGCGTCGCTGTACATCTTCATCCACACGCCGATCTCCTCGATGCAGATGGCTCTGATTTCGGCGATGGCGTCCCTAACGAAGTGGACGGAGAAACGTGTCGGCCGGACGATCCCTCACTTCGGCTCACGGTCGGACGCGTCGCTTAACGTTCGACTCACCTGTACCGGTGGACGAAGATACCCTTGAAGATGGAGTTCATCATGTTTTCAATCTCGTCCTGGTTTTCCTGGAGCTGCAATCAGAGCAAAGGAGTTTAAGGTTTAACTTCATGGGTCAAGACCACCAAACACCCAGAAAACTGAGATGGGATCAGGGCCCCCCCCTTGGACCCCACCTCCTTCCTCTTCTGCAGCAGGAGCTCCAGCTTCTCGTTGGCCCGCTTGCCGACGATCTTGTTCCGCTCGGCCTCATACTGCCGCTGCGTGTTGTCCTGATGTATGCTCAGGTTCAGCGCCACGTTCACCAACGCCGTCATCAGCTTCATGGCTGCGTGGGAGCGACACGCCGTCAGGCCCCTTGGCAGTGGGCTGGGAAATCCCGTCTAATGGGCTTTGCGACTCACTCCAAAGGATGACATAAGGTAAAGGAGGTGACACTGATGATCAAACACTTCGAGGATGTCCCACCTGCCAGGGTGCTTGTGTGCCGGAAGGCACGGACTTGGGAGTCGGACAGGCCCGTAAGCAGGGAGATGACCGTGTCCATCATGTACTCGTCGTAGATGATGCTGTACTGGCACTGCCGGATCAGCACCCCGATGAACTCGCAGAAGTTGTAGCGGAACTTTTTCCACTGGGGCCCGGGCATGGTGAGCGGATAGTCACCACTGTCCTGAAAGCAGAGGGGGAGACGTCAACAGTCAACCACGACTCTGGGGAGACGTCAACGGTCAACAATGACTCTGAAGACACTTCTTTCAAAACTGCCGTCTCGCATCCCTAACTACTTTATAAAGTGATGCGAGGAATGTTAGTAACGGCCGTGCATCTCGGAGCAGATGATTCTCGGAATAACACTGGGAGAAACCTTCGACGGGCGTGCGGTACCTCGTCAAACTCTTCTGTCATTTTCCGGATAATCTCCGCGTTTTGCATGTTTCGGAACATCTCGATCCTTACAGTGCCTGTGAGTAAAAATGGAGGAGAATCAGAAGAGGAGCAAATTTCACAGGGAAACCGACGCTTGGCGAATTTTCCATGCAGGGGACCTGCTGACTGAGGGACACTGATCACCTTTACAGCCGGAGCACTGAATGAAGAAGTTGATGAGGTCCAGAAGTGCTATGTCTCGATCGTGTTTGTAAGACTCAATCCAATCATCCACCACCGACTGCAAGACAGGAAAACAGGGGTAAGGGCTGGAAACACAGCGTGTGACAGGAAGCGTGCGACAGGAAGCGTGCGAGCGGCCATGGGGCAGACGGAGGAAGCACCTGCATAGCGCTCTTTCCCAGTCGGACCACCTCGAACAGGGTGATGGCGTCCCCTTCGCCGTTCTGCTGGGCCACGCCATTTGGCTTCCGGCCTCGCGGCGCCCCCGACTGCGGCTTGTCCACTGGCGTCTTGCGGGGCTTCTTATTGGCCGTCTGCAATTTTCAAGGGGGTGGGTGCCGGTTAAGAAACTGGTCACAAGTATGAGCAGACAGGTGCAAGCTCTCCACTTCTGGCTGTTCTTCCCACTTCTGGATATTAAACAGTTGATGACCTTCCCATCCCACCGCAAACTACAGGGCTTAGGAGCCGGAAGGGGGCCCCGGTGGTGGGCTGAATCCACGCCCCCCCCAGGTCTTACGGCTTCATGGCTGGGCATCTCAGATTTACACTCTAGCTTCACAGATCACACCCACCCAAACCCCCATCCCAAAAACACAGCGCAGGCTGCCCCCCCCCCAGGCAGCCGGAAGGGGCGAGTCGTACCGGCGGCCGGCCCGGTCTGCCTCTCTTCTTCTTGCCCTTGACCTCGCCGGTGTCCTCCAGCTCATTCACACCCAGACTGACGGCCTCCGCTTGGCCCGGCTCGTTGGTAGAGTCCCTGTGTGTGTGTGGGGGGGGGAAGGGGGCATGGTCAGGTGTGGACGGGCAGGTGGGGGTGCGCAGACTTGTGTAGACGCATGCACAAATGCGCATACATTTATGCGGAGGCCTAGGATAGTGAAGACTAACTCTACGGTCCAGAATAAATGCAAAATATTAGACACGACATAAAACTGCCAGGCACAAAAATGAACGTCTGCAAGTATTCTGCGACAAACAACAATACAGCCACAAAAAGCCAAACCCATTAAGATGTTCAAAGAAATGGGGCGGAGCGGATACTCACTGCAATACTGGCAACTCTGACGTAATCATCGTGGAAAGCTTCTCCTCCCCAGCAGCTTCCTACAGCCCTTCCGAAGTACAGCTGTGTTTTCTGGGTCTGATCAGGGAACACAGCCTTTGTCTTGGTCACTGGTAAGAATGTGTAGGAGAAGTCGTCCGGGTCTCTCACGCTACCTCCAGGATGGTCACATCACACAGCCTGCGCAAAGGTGCACAGAAAAGGGGTGCCTGTCACTTACAGCTGCGAGCAAACAGCCCCCCTTAAGAGCTAAAACTTTAAACTGATTCAGCATTTCCCTAATACGGCAATTTCAGGTCCATGTAGATTTTAGAACACAGTGCCATATAAAACAGTATCAATGCACTGCACACAATGCATGCACGAGACTATGCGCAAGTGTCACAGATTCTTCTAAGCACCTTCAGACGCCAATTTTCCAGTCAAGCATATGTCTGGTTTTCCCTCTGAGCAGGAAAAAATCGAGACCGGGGGAACAGAGACACCAACTGGCAGTTCACTGAACTGCAACCATCCAAATCAGGAAAAAAAAAAAAACTTTTCTCCACAGTCAATAGTCTCTTTTTGGCTTCAAAATTTTGAAACAAAACGATAGGAGCGAAAGTTAAGTGTTTTTCCACCAAAACTGGTTTAACTGTATTATAAATTGACCTAGTTCAACAGAAAATATCAATAATGATTTTTTTTGTAGCACAATACAATAAGCATTTAAATATACATCTACAGTAGATATCCCCAGTTCTTCCGCATGAGCACCTAACAAACTGCAATTGGGTGGAAGGGATTTTAAAAACTGGGATAATGGGGAGCTGTTAAAATGTAAATATATATACAAAATAAAGTGAGAGCGCAGCGGAATGTAAAGCCCCCCCCACCACCAACTCTAAACCCTAAAAGAAGAGACAGTGAAATAAGCCAAGGTGACCAAACACAGACGGTCATAAACTTACGTGAATAAGCAGATGTACAAATGGCCCATTTAAAAATTATCAATGAACAAGGTTCCTGGCATGACCACTAGGGGCAGTATAAACCACAAAGTATTTTTACAAAAAGTAACGGGAATCAAGTTAGCCAGGTGACAATTGCGTTTTGAATTGTAACACTTGTGGCAGGACATCAACCATATCATTTTAATGTTAGGCTTCATTTTTACCACAAATATCTTTTTGTAAAACAAGCGGTTTTGGTGCCTTAGCAAATAATGAGCTGAAAGACATTTGAAAACTTTGCAAGGGCAACAGTAGGGGGCAGGCTAAGAGTTTTAATTTAAAATGTCATCAGCCCACAAGCCGCATGCTGAAAGGACCTTGGTCCATGCCGGTATCTCACAGGTGAGAATTAAAGTATGGCGGTGAGAGGACCACAAGCACTGTGGCGGAGTGCCGGCCCTGGGAATCCCCCGGGGAAACCCCTTAACGTGTCAGACGCACAGTACGAAGTCACTGCCACGGCATCAGCGTGCTGTGTGCCTGAGATAGCACCCATAGGTCCAACTGAGAGCGAGAAAGTCGCGTTTCCATTCCCTAAGGGGGGGAAAAGGTCGTCGTTTCTTAAAGTTACGCTAAAATTGGATCCTCCTTTTTGGTTTTTACATCATTAACACTAAAATTCCCGATGGAATCCAATGCACCCGTGAAACAAACCCTCATCAGTGTTGGGGGGGGGGGAGGGGGGTAATGTCTAGGCAGCCACTAGATGGCTGTACACAGCAGGTGGAGGAACAAAATAAAAGTTGAGAGTTGTTTTCTCTGCAGGTGCGCGAGACCCATCACACTCTGCATCTCACAGCTCTCTGCTGCCACGGGACCCGTGAGAGAGAAAGAAACAAGCCACTGGAGAGCAGTGAGGATGTGCGGCCTGGCTGGGCAGTAAAACCGGGGAGGGGGAGGCGGGGGAGGAGGAGGAGGAGACAGAGGGAAATCCCAGCCGGCTGAACCGACGGCCCAGTGTCACCCAGCAAACCCCAAATGACCCCACGTATTTTGGCTCGCCACTCTCAGAAAAGCCCTTTAATGGAATGGCGGGGGGGGGCTGTTTACACTTGTGTGTAGGGGGGGGGATGACAACTCCAAAGGCATTCTGCCATTGCTTCTGGTTTGCTGGACAGTCTATATTTAGTCCCCTGTGCCAGAAAGTGGCAGGCAGGCCAAGTCAGCTCACAAACAGCATGATGATCAGCCTGTGATTAATGCTTTGAAAAATAATTAAATATAAATAACAGCCCCGGAAGGTAAGCTGCTCCTTGTATCTTAGAGGCAGGGTGCTGGGAGAACCACGCCAAGCAGGATGGTGTTACTCACGACGTTTAATCTCTCCATTCCGGCGCTGTGCTTGGTACAGCCACAACTGTCACCCACATGGCGCGGGTGTGCGGGGGGGATTTCGTGGGTCACACCTTTCGCTTTGATCTGCTCAGGCAGACATCGCCACGCAAAAGGGTGTGAAATGAGCGGAGCAAGTGATGACAGGGCCCACAGAAACCGCAAACGATGCAATGGAGGGGTGGGGGTTGGGGGGTCTTCTTGTTTAGCCAAGCTGTTTGGTGGTTCCCTGCCCCACGTCCCCTTCACGCACGGAGACGTGCTGGCAGCACAACCCTCCCTGGAGCGGCTCGAAGCGGCACCTGAGCCAGCCGCGGCTGTGAGACGCTGCCAAGGGGCCGTTCATCCCAAACGCGCACCCCCACCTTCTTCATTCCCCCGCCCAGATTTTTACAAGCCCCCCTCGACTCTGTGCAGCGAGCACTGTGATTCTCCAGGCCGGTACAGACACGTCGTTTGCCACGCGAGTCGGCTTCTGACGTTTCCGGCGAGGACCAGAGTGGCCGTCAGCCACAGAAGCATCGAGTCGGAGCGGGTCATGGAATCTGAGGAGAGCGGAAGGGGTTTGCAATTTGAGGAAATACTGTCATGGACCCAAAGCTTAGTATTAAAGCATCAAGCTGTACACACAGCAACAATGCAAGCAACAATATCCGCCCTCCTATCTGGGGACCAAACTAGACACTATCCTCTAAACCCTGAATGGTAGTCATATACTGAAAAGAGGTGATTCAGCCTGATTTCACCTAAATGCAGTTGTTCACTTCGTTAAGATTCCATCAAACTGTGGGAATGCTCCTACCAAAATGATGGATTCATTTCACAGCCTCCCCTCGCCATTGGAGGGCTCAATTCGGGTGATCGATGGCTGCATTTACAGCCGAGCATCAATTTCCACCGCTCTCCACTCCCACCCCCCCCCTCCACCTCCACCAATACTATCAAGCGAGTCATAACGAGAGCAGCGCCTCTCTCCATTCGGACATCAGATGGGATCGCTGTACTATGACCAGCCTCGTGTAGCGCTTCGTGTGCAAGACCGCAGGAAATGTGCACAGGGTCAACTCCACTGCTTTCTCCTTAGGATGCAAACTTGGAATATAAACAGATTGAAGGAAGGACTGAATATTTAATTTTTGTTAGTGATTAATCTGGGCAAGAATAAAGCACCTCATACGGAGAATCAGCACCATCAGAAGAGCAGTCAGAACGACAGCTTTTATTCCCCCAACAAGCCAATGATTATTGCTCCCACAAGTACTGGGACTTCACTAGCCGCTCTGCCCCCTGTGTGTGACGAGCAGAACTGCGGCCTCATTCCGCTGTCCTACCTCCATTCCAGACGTAGATGCGCCTGACCCAGAAGCGGCGAGCTAGACTTAGCGGTGCAGCCAATAAGACGAGGGTGACTGCCTTTCCGGCTTCCGCCACCGGGGCGTCCCTCTGGCACAGGTCCAGATGAGGATGCGCTCCCACCCGCCTCGTTAATTAAGGCTCATGGCTCGTCATCCGGCAGCCTTATCAGCTCCAAACACAAGGTCGGCAAACATACATTAAAGCAAATGAATATAAAATGAAGACAAACTGCAGGCGACGAGGCCCCTTTTCAAGGACTGACAGCCTGAGAAGCCCCGCCCCCCCCCACGACCTATAAAATTCAGGACATTCAATTAGCGCCCTCACAGCCAGGTGCTGGGAAAAGGGGGACAATGGGGGATAATTAACCAAGCAACTGGGCACATTACACCTTAATTAAAATACACCCCACTTAATAATTAAGATACAATAAAGTGCACCTTAGGAGTGATTCACCGGCATTATTAAATGCGCTATAGAACACAATACAAAGGTCAATGTCTTTTAAAAAAAGAGCGTAAAACACAACATTTTATGATTTGGGATGCTCCAATGATATGACAGGCTGGATCAGGAATGGTATATAAAGCTGACATCAAGCTCTGGTTTATATTCTTACAGGTCTTGTGTTGAATTGCTGTGTTCCTATAAGCCAGTTTCCCAATCCGGTCCATGGGAACCCACAGACATTCCATGTTTTCTGAGCAAAAACGTGGACTGTCTGACTGGGAGCTCGAAGGGAGCAAAAACGTGGGCTGTCTGACTGGGAGCTCGAAGGGAGCAAAAATGTGGACTGTCTGACTGGGAGCTCGAAGGGAGCAAAAACGTGGACCGGCTGTGGGTCCCTGAGGGCCAGTAGAGAAACACTGCTACAAACTACTTAACCTGACTGTAGTCGCCCATATTATGTTACTGAACCACCATTTCATGTTGCTGGTTGGTTGCCTGAGAATGTACACTGCACTTCGTAAATTTATACGTATTTATATTTTATTACCAGGTGATTATGACAATATTGCATCAGTCTGAAACGGGTCACCCTACACCACTCTGGGAGTCATCTATGTCAAACTACCATGGTTTCGGGCTATTTGAAGCGGCAGCAGGTTCCAGGACTGCCATAGGCTGCAGAGGATGAATTGTTAATATCCCTTTGTTCTGAATGCATGGATACACAACACACAATCACTTATTTACACACCTCAGCATTAAGCGTATTCATATCTGTGTAACTTTGTTAATTAAACTGGAGCCATTGTCAAATCACACAACTGTCAATTATGTTCCAGATAAACCCGTAATACGGCATTGTTTGCTGGGCTAAGCTCCGCTGGCTTTTTTCCGTTGTTGGAGGAAATTGCCAGGCAGTCTAAACTGTTTCTGAATGAATCAGAATTGCATTGCATTTTTGAATCGACTCTGGTTTCAAGATACAATTATCAATTACAAACAAGAATATCTGCAGAAAGTTGAGATCACCAGCCACCAAACAACACTGGT